TGTTTTTCATTATTTTGCTGTATTTCCCAGCAGTTTCTTTCTGTAAAAATCACCTTGGGCAAGGGGTTGAGACATGAATGTCCAACCTTCTGGTTTGCCTGGGCTGCAATGAGTAAAGAGGGAATTATCTTGTGCCACGTATACATAGTTTGCTCCCAACATAATGCCTCCCGTTTTCATTGAAAATACACGTGATGCAAACACCATGCTAACACTGTTTGATAGAGCACGTTTGCTGCTGCAAAACATTATTTTCTCAGCAGTCACCACCATGCATTTTTGTCAGGGATGAACGAGAGCCTGCATGCTGTGCTTGCAAATACGTGCATCAGTGCAGGTGACTTGCTGTTGCTACTGCTGAAATGCATCACTTACCCCTCACTGTGCTCATGTCCATGATTTGATCTCCATCAATGTTCAGCAAGTGTCAGTGGATGTCACTTTTTTTTCTTTGTGGGGGAATTCAGTTACACCCCTTTGCTTCATCCACACTTCTGTGGCAGGTAGCACTGTGTCTGACTGCCCCTCTGCTGCCATCTGTCACACAGCAGCAAAATGTAATGGGATACTGGTGGGAAGATTCAGCCCCCACTGCCATCCTTGACAGTAGTTGTTCACAGATGTGCATACTGCCAAAAAGCAGTGACATGAATAAGGTGTGATTGTGAAGTGAGGGGTGTATTTATTTGCTAAGAGAGGTCTTAGAAAAGTCTGGTCCTGAGGCTTGATCAGATTGTTTTAGTTGAATGGTTCAATGTCTGATTGCAACTTGATGCCATGTGTGGCATGCAGACCATGAGTTGGACATGCCTGTTTTAAGAGTAGAATTTGAGCCAGGTGTGCAGAGACACTTAAAAATTATACAGGTCAGGAGAAAGTGGCAAGTAAACCAAGTTGATGCTTGAAGTTTTAATCTTGTTTGTTGATTTCATGTTGGGATTTGTTTGTTTTGCCTGTGTATTTACAGATTGTTGGCATGTGTGCGGAGCGGTTTTAGACCTTGTCTCACTTCCAAAGTTTGTGGATGTTCCATTTACCACTCCCCCCCCCTACTTATTAATATTCTGTGTATCAATTAGTTCTTTGAATTCGTCTCAGCCTGGAAGTTGCAAATGGCATTGCAAGCTGCTGGAGGGAGAGTGCTGCTGGTGCCTTTAGGCAAAGGTCTTGGTCTAATTAGGGTTTACTCCAGAGGCAAGGATGACATTAAGTGGTCATTAGGGATGGCTCTGGGGTTGCATCATCAGAAATCTAGACATCACGTGAGCACACCTTGTACAATTTACTTGAGTTTTAAAAAAAAAAGTCCACAAAGATGTAGTGTTTTCTAAAGCATTTATACTTTCTATTACTGAAACCTTAAAGGTGATCTTCATTCTTAACTTGAAGGGCTATTTTGCAGTGCAGGGATTTGGTTTTGCTTCATGTCAAGAGTTAGGAGTTAAGGTGTGATCACAGTTCAGTCCAAATCCTCTTTTTTCTCAGATTCACGTGCTGTGACTGTCTGGGTGTTTGTTGGCTTATTTGTGATTTTTTTTTTCTGTTCTCATGTCTGTGAGATTGGACAGCTGTAAATGTGAATAGGTGAGTTCTATTACTATTCTTTGATTTTTACATTGCATTTTGCTGATGAGCAGCCTTCCAAGTGTAGGTACAGCAGGTGTGCCTCAGAACAGCTCGGAAGAAGGATGAAATGAGAACTAACTTCACAATGAAGGTCTCACTGGGAGTGCATAATGATAAAGGCCCAAGTAAAGCAGAAGCTTTATCATGTTAAAATTCAGTCTTCACACTCTGTTCACTCCTTTTGTCCTGAGAGCTCATGCTCACAGCTGTGGATCAAATGGAACAGATTTCTGACCTTGGTGTTTGTGGCATGTCTGTCTAAGTGGTGGACTTCATAATAGTCTTGATCTAGTTTTTTAGGACTGGAATCTGTCTGAATGTTCCTGGCTTTCAACTGTTCTGCCTACAGGATGCACTCTGGACAAAGTGTTGAGATAGACTTGAAAGTTTGGCAGGTGGGCTGTCTTCTCTCCAGATGCTTCCTGGATGATTTGTGGGTTATGGACACAGCTGCTGTCTGCTCTGTCTTTCAATCAGGTATCATGAGCATCACTAAAGGGTGGGGTTGATGCAAATTCCTGTTCTGTACCTTGTGCTGAAGACTGGTGTTACATAGCAACCGCTACGGAGGATTAATTTTCTTTAGAGCAAGAAACACTTGATTTGCTGCAAGTGCAAGGGTCTGTCACTGCTTGGATTTCGATGAGTGTGTGAGTTTTGCATGTGCTTCATGTCTTTGTGAAACAAGCAGTGCCCTGCGTCTGCTGGCTTGTCCTTGCTGAGGTACAGTGCAATAGCTGCAACAGATGAGTTTCTTGGGCAAATTTGAGGACAGTGCATCATTCTTAATGACAAATTTGAGATTCAGCGTTGCCTTGCAGAGCAGACAAAAATGTGTATCAGTAAGGAAAAGATGGGAGACAAAATTGAGAAGTGAGTTTTATAATCACCAGGAATGACCTCACTGTCCTTGCCAAGATGACTACTTTGATTAGAGGAGGAGAAAACATCCCCAGTAAGATACCAGTTTGACTTTGTTAGGGAAAACTGTCTGCCAATCCCAGGGATCTGACAGATGGCAATGTGACTATTGGTATTATGTTGGGGTTACTCTTTTAATCAGAGGTGTACTAGTAGACTTGTCAAGTGTGCTTGACTGTGAATGAGACTTGGCTCTCCAAGACTCCTGTCAGTGTTAAGAATCTTTTTGCAACAACCAGCATGAAATAGTGAAAACTAAAATTCTCTCCGATACCAGATTTTTTTAATGGAAAGAAGAAAGTGTAATCTGTCACAGATGCACGAGGCAGCATGTGTATTTACTGCTGGGCTGTATTGTAAATGGCTAAAAGCTGTGGGGCAGGTAAGGGACTTGCTGAAGAGGCTGTGGTAGATCATCTTGGTGTGGTCTGTTGGATTTTTTTTTTTTTTTTGCTCATGAGGTTGTAGATTTACTAATGCTTTTCTATGGGGAAGGAGTCAGCACTTGTGAAGAGCAAGAACTAGAGGTGAGTGTGATGGCAGTGCAGCACAGAAGATCAGGAGGCAGTGATTGTGTTGTGTGGTGTCTTAAAGGAGTAATTGGCAAAGGAAGGGATATCTCTGCTCTGCTTCTGATCTAGAAAGCAGTAGTAATGAGAATTAGCTTTTATATCCCGTGGTATTTGTTCTCTTTGTGGCTTTTTATGGTGGTGTTTTGTTTTTCTGGATTCTGCATGATATTGGCACGAATAACCCTGTTGTGCAAAATGTGCTTGCTAATAAACTTGAAATAGTTTGGTTTGGAGAATTCTAGAAATTTGACGTTATCTTGTTGTAGTCTTTTGGCATATGGTGGGCTATGGTGTTGCATTTGGCAGTGTTCCAGTGGGACGTTTACTAGGAAAGGATAGGGAAAAAACTGTCCTGCTTGCCAACATAATGTGGTTAACATGTTCTGTAAATGAGTCAGAGGTTGATTTTTATTTTAATATGACTCAACAGCTAGCTGCAATGCTTACCTTACGTGGAAAAGATGATGAACACTATAATGTTTGGTTAGGTTAAGAAGATCCTTAATAGGATACAAATACTTCGTACACCTTAAACAGAAATATTTCTTGTTCTGGTGAAGGCAGAGGCAATAGAAATTTAGGAGCCAAATAAGGGAATTAAGTTATTGAACATACATACACACTTGTAGTAGTGGAAAGGTAGTCTTGCATTCATGTAAGCCACGGAGGCAGTGTATCTTTTGCTAGAGGTGGCATGGATTTTGTGCTTAGCTGATCCAAGCTAGAAGTATGCAAGACTGGCTATTTTGAGTGGCTGAGATAAATGATGATTTGGGATACAAGTTGTTTGTGCTGAAGTTAAATCAACATCTAAAATAAATGCAACTTCTATTTGTGGCTGCTTATAATGCAGATAATTTTAAGCAGATATTGTCTGATTTGTGGAAGCTGATTAAAATGAAGGTTAATCAGGAAACTAGAGGGCCAGACTCATTTAAATTGCTTTCAGCATCTCACTGTATCTTTCCTGGAGTTTATTTTACTCAAAAGTGAATATTTGTTTTGAGAATTGAAAACTGTTTTACACTTAGATGTCAATTCAGGAGTTCCAGTTCTATGATTCTGTTTCTGGCCAATATATGAACTCAGACCTCTTTGCTATAGTGCACAGAAGTAACTTTCAAAAATGAACAAAGTTAAACAATCTTTCCTTTTCTCACCTTAAAATTTTGCTAATTTGAGTTTCTTACAATTATACTTACTGGCTAGTATGTATATGTGGAAGTACTGGGGTAAGTGAACTACTTTATGGATGTAACGCTCTGGTGAAGCAAGTTCAGATGCAAGAAGTACAAGTGTACCAGCATAAGAGAGCTGTGTATTAACACTGTTATTACACCATTAGGCAAGGAAGATTTGAAAGCTAATGCATGTGAAGACTTCAACCTCTGCCTAGTGGAGCAGTTGAAGGTGTCAAAGCTCTGAGTTTAAATTACTGGTTGTTTCTGTTTAGGTTTTTCTTCTCCCTGTTGCCTACTGCCAGGATGCCTTCTGAATTCTGGCTCTGCTGGCAAGCTGCATATTCAGGATCTGTCTGAAAGCACGTGAACAATTCTGGGTCAGATAACTTACTGCTTCAAGTGGGAGGATGGTCTTAACTGATTCTTGTGTTCTGTCATTTTGTACCTTGTGACTACCGGTGAAACTCATTGGATGGAGGTATCTCTGAAACTATGTATGTGTATATTGTTCTTCAAGCCAGCAATGTTTGGGTGGAGGCTGTGCTGCACCCAAGATCAACAAGAAGATGCCTTGGGCTGTTGCTGCCTTCACGAGGTGGAAGCAGGATGTATCGCTGGTAACCGGGGCTAATGGTGCTTGCTCTAAATGTCTTAGTCTTACTGCCATGCTGATGACCTGCTCTATGCCATGTTTTTGTAGGTGAGAATGCTAAAGAAGATGTGCAGGGGAAGAGAAGTCTGAGTGAGAAAGTGTCTCTGTACAGAGGTGACATCACGCTGCTCGAGGTTGATGCCATCGTTAATGCAGGTAGGTGGCTGAATGTTGTCACTGCTTGACAGCCTTTATTGCAAGGATATCCATGTGACAAACCTGAACTCTGCAAACTTACATAAAATTGCAATGGCCTGTGGAAACCTGCTGGAAACTCAGCATGCTTTGTTCCTGATTTCTCTGTATTCCCTCTGTTCATCTCGTGTGCTTTTATTGTGACAAGGGTTTATTGTGGAATTTGAGCACCACGGTCACTAAGAAAAAAAAATAATGATCTTGTGTCTATTTTTTTTCTTAGCTTGAGTAGCTGAGAGTTCACTCTTGATATTGACAGAACACTGCACTTCAATACTGAGTTACTGCAGTACATTCCAGTCTGGTTTTTAAATTGAGCCATTTGAGGACTAGATAATGTGAAAATCTTTTAACAGTAAGGTGATAGCAAAAGTGACATACTGTTTTTCATGGTTTGAATGTCTGCTTTCTTGTAGAGAGATTGTATCTTTTAAATTTTTGTCATTACCTGTGGAGCTCTAAATGTTTTAAGACCTTTTCTGCTTTAGTGACTGAAGTGAAGAAATGTGTGTAGCATCTTGCAACAAAAAAGGAAACAAAAACAAAGAATGGAAAAAAAAACCTTATTTGATTGATTTCATTTATTGTATTACAATAATCTAATCTGGCTACTTGAGAAACACTATGGGAAGGTTTTCCCCCTGCTCCAACCTTCTAAATCTTGGCTTCACTCCCCACCCCCTAAAGGGCATGGTTTGTGTGTCTTTTGTCAGTTTTCTTTTCTTTTCCTTGGTATTTGGTTGTGTTGTCATCGATTGTTGGGAATAACAATTCATTTGCAACAACTAATTGCTGGTGTTATTTATTGGAAGGAAACCTACTGCACTTTTCCTCTGTAATGGAGTAAAGCACAGAGATCCCCAAGGTTGTGCTGGGCAGATTGATGTGCTTATTTACAACAGTAAAAAGTTATATGGAGATGCTGGAGCTCATGTCTGTAAAGAGAGTGCCCACAGCATGGACTGCCTGTGCACTTGGACTGTTTGGTGCCTTTTCCTCTCTGCTTAGCAGAGAGTTCTCCTTATTCATGGAGCTCCCTTGAATCACAGGTTGCAACTGGCTGCAGATTAGTTTTGGAATTGAAATGGTTTGCTTTTCTTGACTTAGAGGGTTATTTTGTGCTTTCTGTTTGGAATGTCAAAAATCCTGCAGTCCTAGTTCAGAAATCTGTGATCAGAGTAAGGATCTGTTTTTTGGCTTCTACAGAACAACTGAGATGCAGAGTGACAGAGGTAGCTGGGAAAGGGAGATGATATGACACTTAGCTAAAACCATTCTCAATTATGTTCTGCCATGAATATATTGTTATTGCCAAATAATTCCTTAAAATGTCCTTGTCAGTGATTGCATTGCAGGCAGGTATTAGTTTAACTTTAATGTTTTGCCTTGAGCATCCTGTTAATTTTCTTTCTCCCTGTTTTTTTTTGAAGTATTCTGTGCAGATGTGTATAAAAATCTTAATTTTAGTCTTACCTTTTTTATTAGTATATTATACTCTATTGCATGAAACTTGATCTTGGCTCTGAACAAGTTATTTCCTTCTATCTCTGGCTGCTGCCTCTGTGTATCTGAAGCATGGGCAGTGGGAATTAAGGTCTCATGGCTTAACTAGGCCTTATGTAGTAATGGTAATGATGAGTAATATTTTCTGAGGCTGGTGGAAAACTAAAAATGTAGAGCTTACTCTGCTCACTTCTGGAGATGAGGTCTCTGTATAGACTAGCTGATCCAGAATACAGAAATAAGCAGCAAAAGCGTCACTAAGACTTGAAGATAAATTATGAGTTGCTTGTAGTATCAGCTCAGGAGGGAGATCTGATGAATGTTTATAAATGTCTAAAGGGAGGTGGGAGGGAAATGGATGAGGCCAGGCTCTTCTCAGTGGTGTGTAGCAGATAGGACAAGGAGTAATGGCCTAAAACTTGAACGCAGGAAGTTTCAAACTAATGTGTGGAACTTCTATATGGTAGGGGTGTCAGAGCATGGAACAGGCTGTCCAGAGAGGTGGTGGACTCTCCTTCTGTGGAGATATTCAGGACCCATCTGGATGCCTACCTGTGTGACCTGTTGTAGGGAACTGCCTTAAAAGGATGTCTGGACTCAGTGACCTCTGGAGGTCCCTTCCAGCCCCTGCAATTCTGTGACTTTTTTAATGAATATTTGTGGAGGTAATGGTACTTCTGCTATTTATACTATAATAATGTGGTAGATGCTTATTTGAAGTAGCAACAAGAGCTGCATTTTGAAAGTGAGTGTTTTTATATGTGACCGTGTAGTCATGTATATTAAATAGCAGTTCATCACTGCTGGCCTCATGTATAAATTCACTTGTTACCTGTTAAATCTTACTGTCAAGTTGTAAGATAAGATGATGTATATTAATGTGCTTGTGAATTAGATTTACTAGGAGCAAGATCAAGAGGAAAATATTATAGAGCAATGGGGGGGAAAGGATTATTCTTTTTTATTGGATTGGAAAAGGGCATGACTTGCAGAATACTACGAGAAGTGTTAATTCTTAGCTTTGAAAAATGTCCTTAGATAGAGGTACGAAAGTATGATACTGAGAAGAAAAATCTAAGATCTTTCATATTCAGGGAAGACGAGCATCCTTCCTGTATTCAAGCTGATTTTTGTTAATAAGTCTATAGTATTATTTGTATGTTAGCAACTAGCCTGTTGCCTATAGTTAGGGCAGTGAGGTCTCTCTGTTCAGTGAACTGTGCTTGAACACTCCCCTAACTGGGGGGAAAGCTGTTGCCTTTTAAAGGGAATGTTCTTTTCCCATTTTGAGAAAAGAAGTGGTATGCAAAAATCTTAGTCTTGATAATTAGCAAGAATTAGTGAAAGAAATAACTGAACTTCTTATTATCCCTTTTCCAGTAGGAAAGCAGGCTAGGAAGAGAGGCTTATATCTGAGGCTTTCAGAAAGTTTAGGGTTTGAAACATTTGTCCTGCTGTTCATCCTTGTCCTGGCATTGCAGATGTGTTGAACTGGGAAATTCTCATTGTCCTACTAAGTCTCAACTCTTCCTGTTGGAAGATGCCTTTCTTCCCTTGAGCTTTTGCATTCAGAACCACATTTGAATATTTTACTCTAGCACTAATTTATTTCTTAATTTTCTTAACTAATTTTCTTCTGAACTCTTGACCTTAAGGTATAATTTGATCATTTAATTTTGAGGCGTCACTTTTCTCTCCTGTCTCAAATGACATGTCAAGGTAGAAGTACCACACACAGGAGGTGTGAACCAAATGTGTTATTGCTGAGCTGTGCTTAAACCAATGTGTAGTCAGTGGCTGAACCATGCCATCCCACATAACAGCTCGTTAATGTGCAATCAGTTGCTGCAGTTGCCTTGAACTTGGTGCTTAATGAACAGGTGGGGGGAAAAAAGGATGATTTCAAATCTGGAACAGATCTGACACCAGGCAATTTCACTGATTGCTAATCCGTTTCATTTGCCAACTTAATTTATCAAGCAAAATTTTCATCTTGCGGCTTCTGAAGTAGAAATTACTTCAGCAGTGGCCTGTCTGAATTTGTGAAGGTGTTTGAGTTGGTAGCTGGCCCTGCGGTAGCATCACATGGTACTCATTCCCTGCACCTATACCTTACTTTTAGGATTTTTGCATGGAATATTTGCATATATGAACACTAATTTTTCAACTGAGCTAAACACATAAATATTTACAACAGAAGCTTCTTATTGAGTCTGATTCTAGCAGCATGTTTTTAAAGCACATTTTGTTTTATCTACAGTATTCTGATAGGAGAACTGAAAACTTGAATTGAAATCACAAAGTCAGCTGGCATCTGCCTGTGTATCTTGCACTTCTGTTATTTCCTCAAGGGAATAGAACCAAGAATGCTTACAAAATGTTAATTTGGTTTTCATCTCTAGCATGAGCAAGCTGAGGTGTTAATCAAAGGTTTCTCAGGTTAAATTAGTTGGTGCAATTATACTTACATATATAATCCCAGATTAATTTATATGTATTTCCCATTTATTCAACAGAAAAGTCAACATAAATCATTGCTGGAATCAGTTATTCTCAATAATCCTGATATCTGTGAATAAGTTAATCACTGCTTTCTGTGACAAATATGCTGAATGTGTCAGGTGAGCAGCAGACGTGGTAAACTTTTCACCTGCTTTTGTTTCATCTGATATTACTGTAGTTCTTCCCTTTACTATAATACTTAGATGGAAAACTAAAAATGTGCCCCAAGTAACAGTGATCAAGGGAATGTAACCAAAGGAAAGTACATCTAGACGTGCAATTTCATTGAGTTGGATTACTGTAGCTGCTGTCTTGGTCAAACAGCTTTTGATCTCAGGATGTGACAAAAGCTTAATGTTGGGAAGACTGACTCAGAAGTGCACTGCAACAGGTAGGGTCACTGCACTGCTTGAGGTTGAAGGGAATTAGTTGCATACAGTTTTAAAAAAAAAATGTAGTTTTCTCTATGAAATTAATAGTGTAATGGCTGATCTGTTGTATCAGGGTTTTGATAGTGGTACTAGCATGGCAGAAACTGTAAAGAAAGCAGGCACTTGAATATCTTGCCTTCATGTACCGCAGTGTTTTATCCTGGCTGTCACCAGAAGTCCACTGAAACTTCATTTTCAAAAAGGAGAGCTTCAATGCAGAGTATGTGTTTGGTTAATTTTGTATTGGCTTTGTTTGTCAGGTGTGCTGCTCACCTGATCGCTTTGGAAACTTGACTGCATGGCAGTGCATTTAAGTCAGAAATGTGTGATGCTAAGAAAATTCTCATCTTCTGTGTGCTGTGCATGCTACAAGCTTGCTTCCAACAGCATTCATTGCTTAACTAGCAATGAGTTGTGTATGCAGCTATTCCTGAAGTGTGGCCCGAACATCCTCTGCCTGCACTGTGCCTGGTGCTCCTGGTACCAGGGGATGGAGAGAAGAAGTGAAGCCTGTGGGGGAAGAAC